TAAATATATATATATATATATATATATACACTTCATTCATCACTTTGTGATCTCCAGATCCGACCGCATCCTCACTCTTCACCCTTCGTGTGTCAGGTGATTCGGCATCCGACGCTCACGGTGTTGCTGGTGCTGGGATTGCGCTAAGTGTCATGCCGATCGTTCACTTCTTAACTTGTTCCCGATAAATATCCAACTGTGCGCTATGTCTGGATGGTTCGGTACGGGTCAATAGCTACAGCGCAAAGCGTCGGTGCCTATTTTTCGTATCGACTGATTGCAGTTCTCAAAAAACGAAGGGATACATTCTAAAAAAACCTCTCAACTGCTCCAAAGTGCTCGGTCAGCGGACATCGTGTTAGTCGCTGGAGACTTCAATGCTCAAGTGGCATACCTGAACGAATCATAAAGGCTTCTTTGTGGTACTCTTTCTATCCCAGCCAACCGGACGGACAACGAAGAACAATGCCAATTTAAACTCTGCGTTGACCACGCACTGTTCCTGTCTAGCACCAACGTCTCCCACACGAAGCGACACCGCCTTTTTATTATACACTAGTGTGTGATGAATAACAGTCGGGGCAGACCCCATAGTCACGAAGACTTGCTGTTCAGTGATGGTAACCGGCAACCTAAGCTCCGGGGCTTGGAGTGGTGAACCATATAAGGCCCCGCTAACTCAGGCGTGGTATCGAACCGGGCGACAGCATAGCCGCCTACCACCGAAGTTGAGTGGCGGTGGCGGGGCTCGAACCATAGGGTCCAAAGCACGACGGTGACAGCGACTAAACCACTGGGCGACCACCACCCTTACGTGGAAGCCGCCAACCTCTTCACCACAATGAACTCAAATCGACCACATCGCCATGTGCTACTGCTGGCAAGAATCCATTGAAGACTGCCGCTCTTACCGGTCAACAGCCTTGGACGTGGAACATGCTCTGCCACCGGCCAAACAACCGCAAATGCACCACCGAAAACGGATGCCCAAAATATAGTCCCAGCAGTGGTTGAAAATTGGCCTTCGAA